TTTCTCTCCTTCCCTCCCCTCTCCTCTCTTCTCTCCCCCTTCCCCTCTCCCTTCCCTCCTCCCTCCCCCTCCTCTCCTCCCCCTCCCTCTCCCCCCTCCCTCCTTTCTCCTTCTTCTCTCTTCCCCCTCTTCCTTTTCCCCTTCCCTCTTTCCTCCCCTCCCCCTTCCTCCTCTCCCTCCCTTCCTCTCCTCTTTCCCTCCCTTCCCCTCCCTTCTTCCCTTTCCCCCCCCCTCCCCCTTTCTCCCCTTCCCCCCCCTTCTCCTCCTCCCTCTCGCTCCTCTTCTTCTCCTCCCCGCCACCTCTTCCCTTCCTTCTTCCCTCTTTCCTTTCCCTCCTTTCCCTCCCCCTCCCTCCTCTCCTCCCCTTCCCCCCCCTCCCTTTCCCTCCTCCCCTCCTCTCCCTCTTCTTTCTCTCCTCCCCTTCCCCCTTCCCCTCCCTTCCCCCCCTTCCCTCCCTCCCCCTCTCCTCTTCCTCTTTTCCTCCCTTCCCTCCTCTTCCCTTCCCCCTCTTTTCCTCTCTTTCCCTCTTCCTCCCTTTTTCCCTCCCCCCCTTTCCTCTTTCCCTTCCTCCTCTTCCCCCTCTTTCTCTCTTCTTCTCCCCTCTTCTCTCCCCCTTCTCTCTTCCCCTTTTCCCCCCCTTTCCTCCTTCTTTTTCTCTCTTCTCCCTTCTCCCCCCTTTCCTCCCCCCCCCTCCCTTTCCCCCTCTCCTTCCCCTCCCCCCTTCCTCCCCTTCTCCTTCCTCTTCCCTCCCCCTCTCTCCTCTTCCCTCCCTTTCTTCCTCCCCCTCCCCCTTTCCCCCTCCTCCCCCCCCCCAATAATCAGAACAATGAACTGAAATAAAGACTTACAGCGAAGCACTCCACTTAAGAAGAAGCAGTGGGAAGGTCAATTCAGCTAAAACGATGTGCATATGTACTGCACTGCTGCATGAGATGTTCAGCGCAAAGCTCTGTCTGAACCGTTCTTCAACCGAAGTTTTAAAGCAGAAAAGTACCGCGGTTGTCGAGATTACAGGTGAGTGGTCGTAAGATCGAGTTCTTGACAAGTTCGATCATTTGTCCCCATCAATAACTATCAACAACATAGTGAGAAAGACTTTTTAGATAGCTACATCATTAACGCTCCCATGCAGAGCCCTCCCTGTGTGGATCGTGTGTATGAAGAGCTTGTAAGCAGATAAGATCATTGCAGGTGAAACAGCGTGATAAGAAACCTGAGAAACTGACTTCGCCCAGAGTATCTTTTAGCAGATATGGGAAGCAGTTCTCAGCCTACATCCAGCCTCAAGGCGAATGCAACGGTACACATCTCATTTCAATTGGCCGGGCGGACTTGATCACATTCTCTTTTTCGAAGGATAATAGAGGGAAAACTCAAATACTAGGAATCACTCACGAAGCCAAGAATGCATCCAAGAGCAAGAGTGACACCGGCAAACAGAGAATATGATGCCCATGAGGGTACGCCTTTATCCTCCACAAGGTGGTTGTGCAGGTCACGAACTGCCATGGACAGCTTGAAGAATACGGCAACGACAGCCATTCTGACAATATTATTATTTATAAACTTTGTTTGCAAAAATGTTCACAATTAGTTGGCCATTTGCTTCGTTTTTTAAGAAAGAAATCCTGAATTAAACTGAGAATATCGAAATCATATTAGAAACCATGTGCAACAATATTATGACCACGACTCGGCCTCTCAAACCCGTTTGGAGTTCTTTCTAACCTATCACTTTTTGCATATAGCTTCCGACTAAGTCGCGGTTACGGTTGGATGGAGCCGAATTACTTCTTCAACTTAGACATCTGCTTCCTGAAGCAAAGATAAATCACTCACTGCTTGCTGTTAGGATGCTTATAGTCAGGAACAGGATCGATATTGCGCCATCGCTTGTCTTCAATGAAGGTAATAAAGTCATTCTTGTCTCTTGGTCCCGAGTAAACGCGGAAGACACCGTCCTTCACACTGAAACATGGACATTAGGCACAACCAAACACCAGCAAGTGTATTTCTTACTGATATATTGTGGGAAGAGCAGTAACCAAGAAGCGGCCAGATAGACCAGGATTAACAGTTACGTCGACCTCTCCCACCTGAAAAGAATATGTTTTTATTCTAACCGTCAATCGCAGCAATAGTGGGATGTCCACTGAGGAAATCGGTTATCAAATCATCGCAAAGACACTTATTACTTGAAATAGACAAATTTTCTGACATAACTCCTCCACTCTGAAATTTTCACACAGATATCTACCGACTTTTTGATTATGACACTTGACGGGATTGCCCCTAACATCTTGACTCCTCTCAAAGTTACCACCGCCTTTTCTGTGAAACATTCCATTCGCTAGACGAAATCACCAAACTGATATTGAAAATGGGATGCAGAAGTGGGAGTTTTGTGACAAGACCGCCGCGTACCATGCCCACTGGCCGGGGATACCACTGTGATTCGAATTCTGCCCGGACCAACCAAGCTTTCCATCTTGAACCTTCCAGTCCCAGATAAATATCGCATTATCCAGCTTATCTATGGGCTGAACAGTGAGAAACTGCCCATCTACAATCAAACTCAATACAGACGCCCTCACTCCTCTCAAGTTATCGCGCGGCCCGAATTGTATATAAATGTCATTACCGCTCTCAATGGAGGTATGTGTGACGCATCTTGAAACAAATAACAACGCCAAGTACTTCATATTACATTTTGGTTCAAAAACACAAAGATGATACTAAAAAACTTACTTTGATATTGAGATCTCTTGACCAATCAGCAAATGCGTTCCACGCTTTTTGCAGATCCTTGCAAGCGGGACACCATGGAGCGTGGCTGAAACCGACAATAGGTAGTCAAGTGAATCAGTTCCACCGAACAGTGTCAATTGTGGAAGCAACAGTTGTTCTCTTCAGTTGTTACGCTTTGCAAAGTGAGAGGCTGGTCTCGAAAATGATCTCCCACTCGTTCCGAAAAAGCTTCGATTGCCGCATTATAAAAAAATGTAGGATGCAGATGCTACTGTGTTTGCTGCAGGTGATTTTTTTTTGTGAATTGAACTTCAATCGTCGGAAGCGCAACAATTCCAGCATAAAGGTCTACCAATGTTAGAACAGGAAAACAACGTGAGATGACGAGTGGCAATCGGTTTAGCGTCTCAATATGTAGCAACAATGCATTACACCAATACATCAAGCAACGAATGCACAAGAACCGCACTATTAATGGCTGCTTTGAAGCATAACGCGACGATGTGCCAGTTTATGATTTCGGTTCGCGACGGCGGTGTGCTTCTCCAGAACTTTCTTATATACCTGATCATGACAGCAAAAAAAAACCTACTGTCGCGCAGCTATTCATTTCAAAGATGCTAGTTTACGGGTACAGACTCTGGCTAGCGCGCTCGTCAAGTCGGTGCGTCGCTCCGCGTCCGTCACGCGGACTTTGCTTGTTACTTTGCCATGTGAGGCCCCATACGAAATCGTATCGAAAATTCTTATTCATGGCAATGGGCTGAGATAGATGATTCTGAATCCTCCCCCAATCATCCCACTTATGACTAGTAGGAAAACACCATAGCTTCCATCGAGAGCCACTCGGCGACAAAGTTTAGCAAGGTAATCAATAACGAAAAGCTTCCAAAGTAGCTACCCTGTGAACAGGAAAGAGTATTCTATCCAGCCCCCATTAATGTTGGAAGCGTAAGTGCGTCGATGTTCCACATATCGTTTCTTGCTGCACAATTGGGGCCCACTCATTACACTTCTTAGACCTTTGATATTGATAAGAATTGTGATCTTACTGAGACTATGGTATATCTGAGCCTTTGAAGAAATTGATTGAGCGTACATTTTTATTGGGGCGGAAGTGATTTAGCGGCAAGTGGCGCTGCTTACTATGCACACGGTCCAGAGTTCAAACTTGGATTTTACACCGTCCAGAGCTAACCAAGCTACCCATCACTCTTGGTTCGATTAAATAGAACCAGAATTGTGTGAGTGGATAAAATCACTGATTTATAAATCAGCTAACTCCCGCTCGTTACTGTATAGCACTCGCATTCAACTGTTACTACTGTTCTGAATGAAAGTAAAATGTGTGGCGCATCCCAAAAAGGGCTGATTTATTCCGAATTCTCGTCCTTTACCCATTGACACGTCCACTACTATTGAATACCACGATGCTGATCCCAATAGGAGTCATATCTCTGCCACAAATAACGTATTCTAGTTTCATTGTAAAGGTGAACTCGTAAAACTGGTACTGAGCAAACATTCGGACATGTAATGGAAAAAGCAACTGCAACAGCAGATGTGACACCATTTCCAAATGGTTTCTGAACTAGCATGAAACATTTAAAATATGCACTTTGTAGAAATTCGGAGGTCGTTCAACACAGAAGGACGACATTACATGCATAATAAATAGACTGTTTACAATGCAATACTGACTCATTATCCTAGCAGAGGAACATAAACCAACTTCTGACATTGACCAGAATATGAATTCAAATGCCTTAGCTGTTATAGTTGAAAGGGTCCCATGAGGATTGATCGACAATCAACTCATTAATTCAATTTTATGCAAGAATTTCATTCATAACAGCGATCGTTTAGAAAGATTGCAACTGCCTTGGAAATTTGAATTGTTTGAAAAGGTCCAGTTTAACGATTTCTGTGAGCTCTAAGGGCTTATTTTGACCTACTAAC